GGTGCCATGTAATTGCTAATTTTACAAGATACAGAGTGTCCCAAGTAAAAAATATCAAAGTTGTATTTTTGAAATGAAAATAAAAAAAAAAATTACATTTTTAGTTTCTAATGATTAAAATAAAAGTAAATTTGATTTAAAGATTTACAATAAAGTACAAAAAGCAAAAATTAATATTATTTTCAATTTTGTGAAATTGCAGTAAAATTTTAAGGCTTCATTGCTCCAAGGGTAATTTCAAAGTTTCTAATATCTAATTATTATATACACTTATTTACTGACTTCAGTTATTGTAGTTGGGTAACAATAAAATAAAAAAAAAAAAAAAAAAATATTTCTGTTTTCTATAGAACGATTTCAGATATTTCCATTTTAGTTAAATTAAAAATGTTTGCTTGTATTAAAAGGGTGTTATGTCTATAAAACATAAGAAACAGAAATTACACGGTAGCAAATATCAATTTTAAAACCAATTAAATAAAATTCTAATATAAAACATAATACTAAATATTATAAAAAAAAAAAAAAAAAAAAAAAAAAAAAAAAAAAAAATAATTTGTTATAATAAAATATGTGTAGATACAATAGGATTTGTTATATAATATTAAAAAATGTTTTTTTTTTTTTTTTTTTTATATTAATATATACTTTTAAAATCAATGTACTAGACATTATAATATCCACCTATGTTAATATTATTTTCTATCTGACATCATCTAATAGTTGGCTATAAATGATTTCGCCATGATCGAAAAACGGTTGTCCAAGTTTGGTGACCATTTACATCCCCATTCATACCTAGGCTGGCCTTTTGGTTCTGGTGCCGATATTCGTGGTAATGGAAGAGTACGTATAAAAATAAATATTCTGCAAAATAAGTTAAAAATTGGAATAAAGCATAGAAGGCGTATTTTCCAGCGCATGGAATCTGGCGTGAGATTAAGTGATAAATAATAAATACCTCATATATTTGCTCTCCGACTTAATTAGGTTGCCATAACGATTCACTCCTATACATGTCGAACACCGATCGAAGGTTTCGCTTGCCAGCAGGGTAGAATTCTTAATTCACTCCGTGATCTATTGCGTAAGAGGAGGTAGACATATTTGAAAAATACACACACAAATAAAATTAGCTAACGGTTAGTACACTCCATACCAAATGTTTCTGTATATAGACCTGGGTTAAACTAAAATTTGGTGTGGATCACATGATTACATGGTATAGGGTGGTCTGCATTGTATTCCGGAAACATCAGCTGCATATTCTCCAGATAAAATAAGTAAAAATCTGAAAAAGTTCATATAAATGTAAGGCCTAAAATGCTTAGTTTTTTTTTTTTTTTTTTTTTTTTTTTTTTTTTTTTTTCCAAATAATTTCTAAAATAACGTCAATATTCTTTATATTTCCCTTTGATGTCATTATTATTCCCATTTCAGTTGCCACCTACATGGTTTAACTGTTTCTAGAAGAGTAACAACTTTTCGTCTGTACCTGTATAAACTACCAATGTGAAAAATATACATTTTGCTAATTTCCTTTTATGTAAAATGTCCCAAGATTCTAGTGGTATTTCCTCTGTTTTCTATAGAACGATTTCTAGATATTTCCATTTTAGTTAAAAATTTAAAAAAAAAATGTTTGTTTGTATTAAAAGGGTAAAAACGCAAAAACATAAGAAACAGAAATTACACGGTAGCAAATATCAATTTTAAACCAATTAAATAAACCTAATATAAAAACATAGCCCGTGGTTGTTATATTAAAAGCCACAACAGTGACAAAAGTTTCTTTATTTAATTTGTTATAATAAATTTTTTTTTTTTTTTTTTTTTTTTTTTTATATAATATTAAAACTGTTTTTTTTTTTTTTTTTTATATTAATATATACTTTTAAAATCAATTAAAATTAGACATTATAATATCCACTTTTACGTTAATATTATTTCTTTCATTTGACATCATCTAATAGTTAATATACTGCATGATTGTATATGATCGAAAAAAAAAAAAAAACTAAGTCTAGTTATTTGAAATACACCGATGATTATCTGGCCCATTCTAGGGCTGGCATTTTTGGTCTTGGGTGCCGATATTCGTGTGTACGAAGAGTACGATAAACACACTTAGCAAAATAAGATGTACCGAATAAAGACAGAAGGCAAGTATTTTCCGAAGCGCATGGAATCTAGCGTGAGATTAAGTGGATATATATGTAATAAATACTTCATATTTTTGCTCTCTCCGACTTACTAGATTGCCATAGCGATTCACTCCTCTACATGTAAACACCGATAGAAGGTTTCGCTTGCCAGCAGGGTAGAATTCGTTAATTCGCTCCGTGATCTATTGCGTAAGAGGAGGTAGACATATTTGAAAAAATACATTATTAATAATTGGGGGTATATTAGTTAACGGGTTAGCACACTCATACCAAAATGTTTCTGGTATATAGGCCCTAAGTTAAATCACTAAAATTTGGTGTGGATCACATGATTACATGATATAGGGTGGTCTGCATTGTATTCCGGAAACATCGGCAGCATATTCTCCAGATAAAAATAAGTAAAAAGTCCTGAAAAAAGTTCATATAAATGTATGTCCTAAAATGCTTAGTTTCGGAGATAAGGATGTAGAAGTTTCATTTTTATTTCGATTTTTACAAATAATTTTTAAAATAACGTCAATATTTTATATTTTGATGTCAATATTATTCCTATTTGAAGGGGCGCCACCTACATGTGGTTTAACTGTTTTGAAGAGTAATAACTTTTCGTCTGTACCTGTATAAAACTACTCAGTGAAAAAAATATACATTTCCATAATTTTTTATGTAAAAAATGTCTCTGCTAAAAATCGCTACGAGCAACCGATCTAAAGATATTTAGAACGGAAATAGTCAATACAAGTCATTATTGACAAAAAATAAACATGTTGAGTAGATAGTTATTTGACTGAAATGATAAATTTGGAAACAATTTTTTTTAAAATTAATCATCATTAATCAATCATAAAACAGTTTCTTTTGAACTTTTGCCACAAAAACATTACACATTTATGATTTCAGTCTAGTAACTATTTAGTCAACATGTGTAATTTATGTCAATGATGACAGGTATTGATAAATTCTATTCCAAATATCTCGAGAACGAGATATCCAAATATATGTAGCGATTTTTACCAGGAGACCCTTTCTATGTAAACAATCGTCGTAAATGTATATTTTTTTACTCAATAGTTTTAAGCAGGTAAAGTACGAACCAACTAAGAACATGTCACGACCTTGATAGAAAACGATCGCCTTCTCTCTTGGGTTCTAATCATGGACGCGCCAGTGCAAGAGAGACAAACGATGTCTAAGTGATGACGCTCGTTGCATGTTCTTAGTTGGTTCGTACTCTACGGATGAAAAGTTATTATTTTTTAAACCAGTTAAAAAACATGTAGGTGCTGGCGCTCTCTACAAGTTGGAGTCATATTCACATCAAAATGAAATTTCTCATGTCAAAAAACTCCCAGACACCAATTTTCATCAGAAATTATTTGGAAAAAATGGAAATAAAAATGAAAATTCTACACCCTGTATCTCCGAAACTAAGCATTTTAGGACATACACTTATACGCCCTTCTTTACTTATTTTTATCTGCAGAGTATGCTGCACAATTTTTGTTCAGTTAAAAAAAAGATCATATAATTATCAATGGGTGCGGATAAAATATCAAATTATATTTCTGTGGTGTTTCGAATGGCAAAATAAACAGCTACGAACCCCGAGGCCGCCGTGTAATTTCCCCAAAATAATTCTAAATTAAATTATGTATCGTCGACTAGCATCTAATGGCCTACCTGTATTCGGGCTTCGGTTAATCCAATCTTTATGGCCAGTTCTTCTCTGTAACAAAAAGCACATTAGTCCCTGTATTTAGCTTCTTTTTGGTTGTTTTAGTTTTTGTTGTTTCGGGGGGTCGCCGCACCTGTTTTTCTAAACGCTGCTTATACGATTATAATTGCTGGTTGTCGTTGTGTTGTTTCCGAGGTTTTGCTACTGGAACTAGCGAGCTACTATTTTACTATTATTTAACCCATAATTTTAGCACTTTTTTCTATACGATTCGAGAAATATAACAATGCCCACGTTTATTTCGAGTGTCTCAAGCATCAAGCTCCACTTAAAAAAGGCTTCATCCCGATCCGAATCCGCAACAGTTTATTTCAAATTTGATAAGGGAAATTTGATCTATATTATATTTCGATTCCAAACCAGCTTTACTGCAGTCAATCTCAGAAAAAGTGGGATTGGCTGGAAAGTTCAAGCGCTTTAAAAGCCAATCAAGCTTTATCAACAAGTCCTGAAACCAATATGAACTTATGGTATTCAACTTTGGGGTTGTACCAAAAAGAAACCGACATATTATTCAAACAAGGTACTACGAGGTATTGTTTACACAGCGTGGTACCCCGTATGATAGAATAAAAACGGCGTCAGCGATGGTTATGAATATATGTAAAATTATATGGGAAATGTTATCGATCGTCATTTCATAGCCATCGCTGACGCCCCTTTTTTATTTGATCATACCGGTACATTCAATGACAATCTACATAAGGACTTAGAAGTGGATGATGTCGACAACGTCATCAGAAGATATGCTTTAAGACACGAAGAGAAACTCCATCAGCAAATCAACATCGAGGACCCATCAACAACAGCTCCTAGATAGCGATGGCTTAGTTAGAAGACTGTAAAGAATAAAACCATTTGAACTAGAGTAGTGAAAAGTTTTACTACAGCCCAATGCAAATGAAGTCAAAAACAAATAGTTTATAGCTAGATTGCTTTGGGAGCAAATTGTCTAAGGGGCAAATTCCCAAAGGGTGATTTAAAAAAATGTCAATCGTATATGTTTAAATCCGTATTTGACGCCAGCTTAGCTATTCAAGCGTGATGGGACAATGTGTTTGAAGCAGTGTATAATATGCAAGACCAAAACCAAGATTCCGCTGGTCTTGGTATTATAGTCTACTAGGTCTTGGTCTTGCAGGGACTATCTTAGTCGTTGTTTTAGTTTGCTGCAAGACTCTTGCAAATCTTGCATTTTTTCAAATAGATTTTACTATACGAATTTTCTACATAATTTTTTTAGTATTTTTAGTAGTTTAATGCAAATAAAACTTTAAATAAAGAAATTGTTAGAATATTGTCACACAAAAATTCTTATTTTTCAATATATCGTATTGAATCAATTTAGCAAAAACTAAAGTAATCTACAAACTGGTAGACAGAATAGACATTCTAATAAATAACACAACACTGGAAACAGTAGAAGAATATATATAGTTAGGGCAACTAAGGCAACTAATACACAGCTCGAGATCTCCACAATCTCCACTACCAGAGATCAACAGAAGAATTAAGTTAGCATGAAGTATTTATGGAAAAAACTTAAATCATATTCAAATCTAGAATACCACTTTTTCTAAAGAAGAAAACATTCGACCAATGTGTCATTTACCAGTCGTTGACCTATGCATGCGAAACCTGGACACTTAAAACATACATTATAAGGAAACTGCAGGTCGCACAACGCTCAATGGAACGAAATATGCTAGGAATAATCTAGAGAGACCGTAAAAGAATAGAGTGGATACGGCAAAAGACCCAGGTATAGATGTCATCCACAGAATTAAATCCCTCAAGTGGTAATGGCCAGGATACCTGACGGACGGACAACAGATGGACCACAAAAATTACAGCACGGTACCTACGAGGAATCAAGAGACCTAGAGGAAGCCCAAACCTGGAGATGGGATGATGATATTAGGAAATTAGCAGGGATAACTTGGGCCCGCATAGCCAACAATAGACCACAATGGACAATGGACCCAACTACAAAGAGGGCATCTAAATATGCGAGGGAGGCTACACCATAATTGGAAATGGTTGAATAGACTGAAAGTGACGATGATGATGATGATTAATTGAATCGCTATTTCTTTCTTTGAAATTTTTTGCAATAGTCGGGAGGACACTATTGTTAATATAAATTAAACCAATAATTTTGAACAAATAAGTAATTTCTTATATCACATTAACGCGAAAAAAATTTAAGATCGCAAGAATTTTGCATGTTTGGTCTTGCAGATCAAATGCTTCTCTTGGTGTTGTTTTTTACGCAAGACCAAAGGTGCAACACCATGATCGGTCTCGCTCATCACTAGTTAAAGTGTATATAAAGTTTCAAAAATGCCCTGAGTTTAATTAATGGCGTTGTAATTTTCCAGGTCTCTGCCCATACAGCAATACTGACTTGGCATTTGAATTGAAAGTTTTAAGTTTGGTAAGTTGAAAGTACTGTCTAGATCTCTAAATATTGTTGAGCATTCCAAATGTTATTCTGGCCTTGTTTGTTCTGTTTATGATATCTTGCTCTACTGTGCTTCCGTTGGTTGACATTATTTTACTCAAGTAAGTAAAATTATCTACCTCCTCTATAGGTGTTGTTTCAATGATAAAGGGAGCGACAACGATTACAAACGGTGTACAAACTCTCATCGATTTAGTTTTTTTAATGTTGATCTTAAGACCTGCAATTCTAGCTTCATTTAAGTCAAGTAGTTTTGAGGCCATATCCGCATGACTATAAGAAATGAGACAGATGCCAGCTCAGATCTTCTAACATGCTAAAAGGATGCCACCATATTCCATGATGATTCTTGGAAATAGTTCTCTTTAGAATATCATCTAAGAGGATATTAAAAATAAATGGCGACAGGACGCAACCCTGCCTCATCCCATTACGAATGTTGATGGATTCACTCCGTTGATCCTTATGCAAGACTGCACTTGAGGCCTCACAACAGAGCGCCTTGAATGACCAAATACTATCAGAAATGAGGATTTATAGAGCTTAACCATCCAGAGGCCGGTGTATAAGGAGATCAAACTGAGGAAATGGAGGTGGATTGATCACATATTAAGACGAAGCGGCAACAACATCGCTGAGTAGAACTCATAAGGCAGTAGAACAACTGGTTTGCTTTGGTTTGGTTTGGTTTGGCCCTGTGCTCCACATAGGAGGAAAAAATGAAATGAATGAGTGAATGATAAAGGAGCCGCTTCACGTATAATTATTTCCGAATCACACTACCTAGTGTTCACACCAGGACTGTGATTAAATCTACATGTTCACGTTTGTGAATGATATTCCTTTAATAATATCATTAAAACTAGCCAAAGTTTAATATTACCTAGTAAAGACGTTCATCCGAGCGCCCTGGAAAATGTTTTCTCCAATTCTTCAATATCTGGTCTTGCGGAACTTTTACAGATGAAACGCTTCTCTTGGTGTTACTTGTTATGCAAGACCAAGGTTGCAACACCATGACCAGTCTCGCTCATCACTGTTTAAAAGAGTTTCAAAAATGCCCTCGCTTTGAGTCAAGAATAGTTCTGTTGTGTTAGACGTAGCAGGCTTAAAGACATTTCGTAATTTATTAAATCAGAAAATAAAGACAGTTCCAATTCGATATAAGTTTTTTAATTTGACTTTTTTTAATGTATAATATTTCCACTGATTCGCCTTTATTAATGCGATTATAAGTCATCGGTATGGTTATCTGAAACGAAAGAGAGACCCGAAAGTTGAAAAAACGAAGAGGAGGAGATATTGATAAACTTTTAAGCGAACGTGAGATACCATTTATGTTTTATGGGTCCTAATTGACTCGGATGGCTTTGCCTGGGCCGAAAGCAGCGTCGCCACATCGTCCGGACAAATTGCAGACAAGCCGGAATGTCTGTCTTTCGACATCCGATTGCTTTATCTCGGCTTGCGGAACCTGAGACACGATATACTCATTTGACTTATTTAGATATCACGTGATTTGTGGGGGCTTGTGTTTTTGGGGGTTTCTTTTCTGTTTTCTTTTCGTCATTATAGTTTTGCAATTATTGTCAATCTTGATTGTATTCCATTTCTTATCTTAGTTATTAATTCTTACACTGCCTAGTTTACCGTTCAGGCAGTGAGTTAATTATTTTTCGATTTTAATTGTGAAAAGGCGTTTTTAAAGTTTCTTTGAGTTGTAGAGTGTATAAAGTATAAATACTTTCATTTTGTGTTGTGGATTGTGACTAAGTGCCTACGATATTGTTTATTAATTATTGTAAAGCAAAGTATGAAAGCACTCTAAAAAAAGAATGTCGCAATAACATAAAACGTGTTCTGTCGTTTCTTCTTCAGATTGATAAAATCTGCACGTGGCTTCGTCCGTCAATCCCATTAACTTTAGATTTAACAGTACACCCTCTCTTTTTTTTATCGGGTCTGTCGTGTTTTTGACGGATGTTCTATTGGTATTCTTCTCTTTCTCCACCATTATAGAGATGTGTTGGCCACCCTTGTTTTGTGATCATTTTTTTTAATGCTGTTGCAACGCTGGGCAGAAGGGTTCCGGGAAAGATAATTCTACACTTTAGTTCTGGGCCTGTAAAGGTCGTCAAGTTGGGTCTTGTAAGTTGCTAGAGATCTTACATGCTTCTCGATTAACATTATGAGCAGAGGTACTCCAGTTAGCCTTATTGCATGGGATGCAAAACTGTTGAGCGACAGTTATGCGTCCATTAAAGCCTAAACTTATTTTAGGTGGCTCTAGCTAGTTGTCGAAGATGGTTAATCAATAGTTCCGAATAATAAGTACTTGAGTGAGATGGAAGATATGGATTGACATGTTGGATAAGAAGGTCAGTGGTTATGGGGCGGTGTACCCTCGGGTGAGTTTTAGTATTTAATTACCAATTTTATCCATATCAATAAATGTTTGCCAATGATCAACTAAATGGATATTTGAGGTAAATTTGCAAAATTAAAAATGCATTATCCGAGTATTTTTTCATCAATTTATTTTTTTTTAATATTGATATTAAGACCTGCTTCATTTAAGTCAAGTAGGTTTGATGCCATATCCGTATGACTATGAGAAAAGAGACATATGTCATGTGCATAGCCCAGATTTTCTAACATGCTAAAGGGAGTCCACCATATTCCACTATGATTCTTGGAAATTGTTCTTTTTTAGAATATAATTTAAGGAGACATTAAAAGAAATAGCAACAGGGCGGAACCCTGTCTCACCCTATTCCGAATGTTGATGGATTCACTCCATTGAGCATTATGCAAGACATATGCACATTGAGCTTCACCATAGACCTTTACGAATGGTCAAAGACTATCAGAAATGAGGATTTATGGAGATTAACCATCCAGAGGCAGGTATATAATGAGATCAAACTGAAGAAATGGAGGTGGATTTGTCACACATCAAGGCGCGATTCTCAATATAACGTGATATCAATCTTACATCTTAAATGGAATTGGGCAGGACATGTGGCTGGGATAACAGATGGACGGTGGAAAAGAGACTTGTGGAATGGAGACCAAGGCACGAAGCCTATAGAAACAGAGGACAGCCTCCTACTCGATGGATAGATGATATTAAGAGAGTGACTGGAAAGTAGATTCAAGTGAGTTAAGGGGAGGCTTTTGTTCAGGAGTGGACGGGATACGCTAAATGATGATGATGATTATCATTAAAACTAACCAAAGCTTAATATTACCTAGTAAAGACGTCCGGATAGTGCGTCCTGGAGAAAGCTTTCTCCAATTCTTCCAACTGGTAACTGGTAAACGTGGTCCTGTACCTCCTCTGTTTCCTTTTTGGTGCGAACTCGTCGGGTTCAGGGTCACTTCCGTCACTCTGATCGGGACCTGGGGGCCTGGGTTCGATACCAGCCGCTGGCGTTACTTCCTCTGATACTCCCATGTTTGTCGGGTGCTCAGACGAATGAGATTCTGAAACAATAGAAGAAATAAGATTAGATTCAGAAAGGCCAGGTAAAAATTTATGAATAAACTTAGACTTGACTTGGATAAAACAGTCTATACTATACAAGCAGCGTACAAATGAGACGTGGGCAGCATAATTATAAGTACAGGGTGTCCCATTTTGGTTGAAATCATAGGGTATCTCCATTACCATTATTAGTAAAGATAGGAGGATGCGGTTTGCACAAATCTGTCCCACTTTTTTGTCAAACGAAAGATTGCTGTAAACAAAATTTTCATAGCCCTCTTCGTTTCTGAGCTACAGGGTCTATTCGAAAATTTTGCAATTTGGGATAGCCCCAGTATCTTCATTATTGTGGATGATATCGGGAAGGTGAAAACTGATTTTTGTAGAACTTTTTACGTAGAATATAGTGACGGAGTCTGTTTTTCAACGAAAAAAATATTTTTGAAAATATGAACTAAAGTTTTGTTTTTTTCAAATGGAACACCCTGTATATTTATAAATTATATGATTTGTCTTGCTATAAGCTTTTCAAAAATATATATATCACTCTATATTTATTTTTAATATTTACTGCAATATTTAAAATATATAATTTTTTATTAGTAGGCCGTGATAAATAACAAAAAAAATTAAAATAGTATTTACTAAAATAGATATACACATATTAAAATATTATTTGGGGTTGATATATTTTACTTTTGAACTATTACCACTGAATCTCTGAATATATATTTCTTTTTTTATAACGAAATTTATTATAACTGGAGTTTGCAAATATCTAAAAACTTGCATTATTAAAGCATTTTTCAGGTGTTTAATATCTAAAAGCTTGTCTGATAGCATTTTGTAAGTCTTCGACATTATTGTAGTTGTCACGATATATTTCATATTTCAAAAATATCCAAAATCAGAAATCGAGAACAGACCGAAGAGGTTCCAATTCGTTGGCTTAAGAAATAATAATTTAATCAATTTTCTAATATTTTCAAAGTTGTTTGGGAGGGGCCATTTTGCTGAAAGTATATATTTCACGTAAATTAGGTACAGGAATATCTCTAAAAGTTCCAGTACCTACGATAGCTTCAAAGATTTACAAATAGCAGTAGAGAGTTAAGTTTCCCTAATATATAAAGAATTTATTAGTGGTTCCCAAAATAAAACAAGAGAGATAGCAATATACTTTCAATAATTCTTTAGTTTCTTTTATAATAATATGATATTTTAATAAAAACTTCTATATATTGCAATAAATAGTGAAAATATATATAGAGTGATATATATTTTTGAGAAGCTTATGACAAGCTAGATCATATAATTTATAAATATACAGGGTGTTCCATTTAAGAAAACATAACTTTAGTTCATATCTTTAAAAATATTCTTTTCGTAGAACAACAGACTACGCCACTGAAAAAGTTCTACAATAAACAGTTTTCACCTTCTCGATACCTTTAACAATAACAGAGATACAGGGTGTCGCAAATTGCGAAATTTTCAAAAATATTCTGTAGCTCAGAAACGAGGAGGGCTATGAAAATTTTATTTACGGCATCTTCCATTTGACAAAAGAGTGGGATAGGTTTGTGTAAACCGCACCCTTCTATCTTCACTAATAACGAAGATACAGTATGATTTCAACAAAAATGGGACACCCTGTACAGTTAAATAGTAGCATCCCAGTGTAAATGGCCCAAGTACACTTTGCCCGTATCAACCCGCGTCTAGTTCGCAAGCTATATATTTTTTTTGATTAATACAGAACGTTGCTATAACCTATTTTGTAGCAACACACAGTCAATTTTTATAATAAAAATTAAACGGTATTAAAAAAATCCGGGAGCATATAAGAAGGTTTAATTTAATATCTCCTATCTATATTAATATTTTGCAACAAAACGAGCAGAGAAAAAAAGTTTGAAATTGCTAATGGTAATTACTGAAAAGGCATTAACGGTGCCACGTATCGATCTTGTTAAATCCGAACCGATAGCTATCTCGAGCCCATTTCCTCATTTAATTTAAGGCTTGAATGGTTAAGTTATTACAAATCGGCAAAAAATCTATTAAATTATGATTAAATGAAGTTAATTAACAAGGAGTGTTTTTATATTGCTGCGCGCGTAATTGAACTACTTTCTATAATGTATTGTGATCAGGATTTTTTACGCTATTCGATTTGCGTAATGTATATAATGTCTACGAGTCCCATATATATTATAGGAGATATTTGAGTTTAGAAGCTGCTTCAGCACGATTGATCACACACATACACTAAGAATAAAATATCAGCCGAGCAAAAGAATACGAACTTCCACTTTTTTTTCGATGAGGAGGGAAAAAATCTTCCACCAACTACCACTTCCACCAACTCACACGCAAACAGTGTATGTCGAACATGATCATCTTGACCACAGTAGATTCATGATGCACTATCAAACTATCAACCCTACGATGATCGTATAAATATTTTCTACAACACCCATGGCTAGACAATGCTTGACTCATGAAGTAATTGACTTCTCCATAGGGTCTGTTTAACCATAGTTGTATGTCGGATATTAACCTGTATGTCCATCTGCCATATATTCCGTTATTCCATTTCTCTTGCCACTGATGGAGAAGTTTTGTCCTTGCTAGATTTTTTCCATCCCATGGTATCGATTATATCGTTCCTGTATGAGCAGATCAATAGGCGTCCAGATACCGTTTTGTATGTGCTGTATACCCTAATAGATATAATGCGTTGAATTCTGCGTAGTCTTTGCATTAGCTTGCGATTGTTAGTCATTTTATGCCATGCTGGTGCAGTATACAACAGCTGCGAGTGTATCACACTAGCAAGTACTCTTCTTTTGGATGCTCTAGCACCTCCTATATTTGGCATGAGTAAGGCTAAAGCGTGACAGTTTTCTCGGCCTTGGTGATGGTTTTATTAATATGGTCCGCAAAATTCAATTGGGTATCCAGCCACACTCCTAAGTACTTTAAAGAATTACATTATGTAATTGGGTAAATTATAGTTCCTTGTATATAAAACTGCACCGGGAATGTTTTTCTTTTACTGGTCAGTAATACTGCTTCCGTTTTATGTGGAGCTACGGTTAACAGATTATTCTCCATCCAGTTTACAACTCGTTGGATTGCCAAGTTGACGGTGTTCATCAGTACAGATTCATCTTTTGCACATGATACAATGGCAAGGTTGTCTGCAAAGGCAACTAAAGTTGTTTTATCTGGCATTTCTATCCTCAGTAGTTCATCATAGAGTACGTCCAGAGCATAGGTCCCAAGACTGATCCCTGTAGTACACCGCTATTTACTAACACATATTTTTGTAACCCTTTGGCCTCTATTATGATTCTTCTCTCTGATAGGTAGGATGCTATATAATATCAATTAGACATTGATCTATTTTCCTCTTTTGCAGATTGTTCAATATAACTTGCCAGGGGGCGTTGTTAAATGCATTTTTGACGTGTATGCAGCAGCTTCTTCCGCTATCTGCATTACTTTAAGGATAGCATCCACAGTCTGCCTTCCTTCACGAAAGCCATATACAGGGTGTCTCAGATTTTAATCGGAAAAAGTTCATATCAACTTGTAAGATTTAAAGCTTCCTTTTCGAGATACAGGGTGCCATTAGAATACCAATTATAATATTAATTACCAATTAGAATTTAATTTTTTTCGCAAGAAGTAAGCAAGATAGACAAAAAAATCAGAAGATAAAAAAATTATATTTTTAATTACTAAATCCAAAAATAATATTAAACTTCTAAAAAAGCAGTGGCGTGCCTATTTTTTGCTTTAAAATAATTTAATAGTAATGCCCCACTGCCGCGCCGCCCCTGGCCATTAAACTTAAATCTAATTGCATCAAATTAAGTCCCATAGTAAGTATTATAAACGGGTCAAGTTATATCAAAATCGATTAAATAGTTTTTCAAATATCTTAATTTTTTTTTCTTTTTTAAGTAACTTTAACAACCTGTATCTCGAAAAGGAAGCTTTAAATCTTACAAGTTGATATGAACTTTTTGTTTTATTTTTGCAAGTTCTATCGTCTATTAAATTTTCCCGATTAAAATCTGAGACACCCTGTATATTGTGGATCTGAGAATCCCCCTTTGCGAGCAATTTCCTCTACCAGCTTAGTTCGTATGAGGTGTTCAACACCATTTCGAACTTCCACTAACTATAGCCTTTATAGACTTCGAGAAGGCTTTTGAATAGATATATTCTAAGGCAATAATAGAAACCCTAGTGAAACAAGGTGTTGTCAGGCCTTATATAGAAACTCTCGCCAATATATACAAAGAAGACAAAGCAAGAGTAATGATATATTAAACAACCCCAGAGTTTCCAACTGGCAAAGGAGTACGACAGTGAGACGTGATATCTCCAAAGTTGTTTACAACAACCTTAGAAGAAATCTTCCGAGTCAACTGCCTGGACCAACAAAGGATTAAAAATAGATGAAGAATATCTTAATTATCTTAGATTCGCTGATGACATAGTCCTAATTGCCAATAGTCCTGAAGAACTGCAAGCACAAATTAATGAACTAAATACAGCCAACAATAAAGTGGGTCTTAATAAAAAAAAATGTACATTACTTTAGTTTTTGTTACATTAACTGACAAAAACTAAAGTAATGTACAACAAAATAGTGGAAAGAAAAGACATTCTAATAAATAACACAACACTGGAAATGGTAGAAGAATTTTTGTGACAACTAATACACAGCTCGGAATCTCTACTACCAGAAATCAACAGAAGAATTAAGTTAGCATGGAGTACTTTTGGAAGAGAGTCAATCATATTCAAATCTTGAATGCCACTCTATCTAAAGAAGAAAACATTTGACCAATGTTTACTACCAGTGCATGCGAAACCTTGTCACTTAAAATCGACATCATTATGAAACTGCACAACGCTCAATGGAACGAAATATGCTGAGAATAACCAAGAGAGACCGTAAAAAGGAATTGAATGGATA